CAGCGGGTCATATAGAGTACGGGTATGCTTGCCTGGCAGTGCCGTATCTATCTGCTTCGAGTATTTCCCGACTCTTTCTGGTAGTGTTCTTGTTTGCCGCTGCTTGGTTATCGCTAGTCTTATTCTTGTGGATCTTGCTAGATGCGGTGGCACATCTGGTCTGCATTCTCCTTCTGTGGCCTTCCGGGCTGCTGCTTTGGCTTTTGGTCCCAGCGCGAAATCCTCTTCTCCTGCTGGAACCCACAACATCCGGAGAGAGTGGCCCTCGTCTTCGAGACGCTTGATATGGTCGTATATTTGCCGTATGATCTGTTGGCCGGATTGTTGTCGTGGCCGCCGTATGGCTTCTAGTGCGGAGCGGCTGCTCGTCATGACAGTCATATCCCGCCGGGAGAGTCCAGACGGCATACATCTCAATACCATCTCTATAGCTCCCAGCTCGGCGATGTATAGGTTCAGCTCCTCCGTCAACCCGAGAGTGATGGAGTAGCTGGCCACTACCTCGTCATCGTTGTTGATCGCCGTATCTCGTACGACGCCTCCCATGCCTACCATGCCCCTTCTCTGCGAGGAGCAGGTGGCAATGACTATACCATCCACCCTCTTTGCTTCTTCCACCGCTCTCTCCCGGTCACGGTCGCACGACACCGGGATACGGTCTCTCCATGGCGGTAACGCGTACTCCCGAATGATCTCCATTCGTTCAGTGGCTGTTTCCCCTTGTACTTGAGCAATCCTCTGCATCGGCGATACGAATCGGCGACACACTTTCACTTTCAGTGTCGCCAACGGGTGTGTCCTGGGAAGGGTCCGGAGGTTGATCCAAAACCTTGTTGCCGCTTGCGCATGCCGTTCTTGCACCGATTGGATGCTAGCTTCGGCCTCTGCCACCGCCGTTGCGACGGTCCGGAAAGCTCCCGTGATCGCCTGTGCTCCGACCATCTGTGCCTTGTCCAGCCAAGCAGCTTCTCTAATGCCACATGAGTGCGCCCACACGCTGGACGCATAGTCCATGGTGGGAGCTACTGTTGCTACGAACAGTTGTCTCGCCGTCCGCGGTGACAGCATTTTCAGTCTTCTCAAACACATAGCAGCCGAGAGCCCCTTTGCGGCAGCTCTAGCTATGTGTTCCTTGTACCGCAGTTTCGCGTCCATGACCACTCCCAGGATCTTGGCGCTCGCCTTGGGCTTGACTGCTTCCCCTTTGATCATGAACGGTGTGTCGCTAGTACTCGCGGCGTTTCGCGTGAAATGCACGATGGCCGTTTTGTCTCCTTCGAACGTCGCGCCGCTCCGACTTTCCCAGCCCAGTGCTTCGTCTATAATTGATTGGATGCCGGCTCGGTTCTCCTCTGCTGTTGGTCCCACTACCCAGGCCGAGTAGTCGTCCACGAATGCCATCGAACCACCTCTTGCGTTGATTCTTCTCTGCACCAGATCTGCATTAAAGAACAGGAACAACACCGGCGACAGCGGTGACCCTTGCGGGAGACCTGCCTGTGGCAACTCCCGTAGTTGTGACGTGTGCCCATTTACCATCACAGCGGCCGTTCGCCCAGAGCAGAAGGCATCAATCCATCTCACCAGTCCACCAGGTATGCCTCTCGCCTTCAGCCTCTCTAGTAGTCACTCTTTGAACACTCCGTTGTAGGCGCCTTTGACGTCGAAACTGATCAGACTGAGCACCCTGCCAGCCCTCCATGCCTTGTAGATCAGCTCCTGCAGCAGTATCAGTGCTTGTTCAGCTGACCTTCGCTTCCTTGCCCCGAAGTGGTTTGCGGGTAGCAGTCCATAGCTCTCCACTACATAGGATATCCGCTCTGCAACGACTGCCTCGAGTATCTTGCCCAGTGTTGACAGCAGCGATATCGGTCTCCATGCCTTGGCCACTGTGTAGTCTTCCTTGTCTGCTTTCTTTAGCGGGATGATCTTCGCACTCCTCCATTGGTGGGGTACCACACCATCCCTGAGGGATGAGTCGAAGAGGTGCAAGACACGGTATCTAACCACTGGCCAAAGCTGTTTCCACACCATTGCTGGCAGACCATCCTCTCCAGGCGCTTTCCAAGGTTTCGCTGCTAGCACTTTTTCAACTTCCTCCATGGTGAGGTCTGGCATGTGCACTTCCGTCCGTTGCGGTCGGTCGCCTTCATCTTCAATCCTGGCCGGCAACGGCGGGAAGAACGTGCTGAGCAGCTCCTCTGCCTGCTCCACCCTATCTACCGTGGTGGAGCCGTCTTGTCTCTTCAAAGGGGGCACTCTGTCGTCCATAGCGCTATTCCGGGTTTCAAGTACGTAGCCGCCTTCCATATGTTGACATCTTCTGCCAGGAATTCGTCCCAGTGCAGTTTCTTCTGTTTCCGATGGCATCATGGTACTCCTTGGATGCTTCCTTGGCCCGTCTTCCAGGTCGGGCCTCACCTGGCCTGCTCGCCGCTGTGCCCTAGCCTGATTCCGCCAAACGTGTACACCCGCCGAAGTCTTGTCAAATCCTTCGTCCACCAACACTTCGCGTACGGTACTGGTGTGTGCGGGGCGTCAGCTCGTGGATCGCTCGAGGATGACCCTCATTAACTGGTCTGTCTGTTCCTGCACGCCGACAGTCCAGGGAAGCTCTTGGAGATTGTCCTCCACCTTGGTTCTGATTGCTGTCCATGGTGCATTCTTGAACAACAGTCTTTCCGTGACAATCCGATCAGGCATCGCGAGATCGAACGTCGTTTGGATCGCCCGGTGGTCCGATCCGTGTTCTGTCGGGTGTATGGAGCACGTCACCATTCGTCTGCCACTCCGCCGTCGCCAGCACAGGTCGATTGTGCTTTCCTTGTCGGGGCCTTGCCATGTCTTTGTGCCTCTCGGGAGGAGGCTGCAAAGACCGTGTTCGTTCATGAGGTCGATGATCGGTTCGGCCTCGCTTTGCCTTGCCAATGGCACGTCGTCTCCTCCCCATAGCCGGTCGTGCTGGTTAAAATCTCCTGCCAGTAAGACGTCCACCACCATCCCTGTCCTGCTCCTGAGGTCGAGGATCACCTGGTGCAGGGTATGGCATGTGTGTCGAAGAGTCTGAGGCTTGCCCCCCGGCACGTACACTGACACGACCAACACTATTCGGTCCGGAAGTCGTATGGTTGCTGCTGTCAAGTCCGGGGACTGTACTGGTACTTGCTCGGCCTCCAATTCCTATTCACCCACAACATGCTTCGGATTGGCCATCTGCCATCTCTCCAAATTGTGGGGACCATTTTGGTCCATTTGGGGTGTCCCATGGGGACTGTGAGTAGTTTGCCGTCAATTTTCCGTGCCTGTGGTTCTTGGATCGCTATAAATGCAAAATCTTGGAGTCGCGTATCGTTCATTAGGCTCTCGTGTACCGTGTCCTGTTTTCTTACATTAAGTTGAATTACCTGGAATATCCTACTCATGCCGAGTAGGGTAGAGTTTCGGGCAGCTTCGACTGAACGACTCGTGCGGTCCACCACAGGGTACGCACTTGGGTACCTGCGTCTGGCACTCACGATGATGGTGGCCTTCGGCAGCGCACCTCGCACATACCCGATTCTTGCTGCACGAGAAGGCCTTGTGGCCAAGCTCCTGGCAGTTGTAGCATTGTATCGGTCCGGTTCTCCGCTCGAACATGCTGGTATAAGCCGATTCACCGGCTGCAAGGAAGTAGCGTTCCTGTAAGAGTCTCCTGGCATCGCTGTTTTTGGTGAGGTATACCACCATGGATCCATATGCCTTTGCGTTATCCTTGCGACTCAACCAGGCCATCTTGGCAATCTGGACTTCATTCTCTTGGCCCAAGGCTTCCATTGCTCCAGGAAGGACCTTGCCTTCCTGGTCCAGAACGGCGGTACGGTTGATATTGTCAACTTTGACTGGATACAGTTGGTCACGAAGGACTCTCGCACCTGGAGCCTTCTTGACCTCAATAATGGTCTTGATCTTCTTCAGTTCTTCCTCGTTCCTACCGATGACCCTCAGGCGGTTGGTATTTCGTCCATCTCTGGTCACTGCAACACATCGCCAACTAGGTTGGTCGCTAGATGTTCGCATTTCCTGTTCAATGGTCCTGCGAAGCACTGCTGGTGTAGCATCTCCGATATGATCCTCGGGCACCCTAGATGTGTCTACTGTGCAGAACACCGGTTCCGGGGTTGCTGATCGAACCGTGGATGGAGTTTGAGTGGTGATACTAGCAGGCGTCATTCTGGCAGCATCTGCATATGTCTGGCTAGGCGATCTTGCTGCATGAGCATTGGTCAAGGTGTCCAGCTGTAGCCGGGTCTGCTCCAACTCGCTGCAAACCAGGGTGAGCTGCTCTCGAGCCTGTGACAATTCTTGCGCCATCTGGGCCGTGGTCCTAGTGACTTCCTCAGCCATGCGGTCGCTAAGTTTTGTAAACTCGAGCTGAAACTCTGCCTTCATTGCTTCCATTCTTTGATTGAAATCCTGTTCCAGGAGTCGTTTCAAACCCTGGATCGCCTCGGTCATGCTGCCAGCTGCCTTAGGCGTGGTTCTTTTCTTAGTTCGCGTATGACTCAGAGCTCCCTCACTGCTCTCCTCCTCCTGCCATTCCATATCGCCTTTTTGCTGCTCGGACTCCAATGCCCTTGTCGTTCTGGTCCTTTTACGCAGGGGACGATGATATCCCCCGCCCGGAACATCCGGCTCGCCTTCCATGACGACAATGACGTCTGAAGCGGGGTTCGCAACTTCAGACATCCACCAAAGGCCTGAATCTCCGCCAAGCGGCTACCGGGTATTTCAAAAGTAATAAAGAAGATAATGAGATTTCGAGAAGTGTTTCGAATCGCCACTCTAGCAATCGTATCACATCCCTTCGTGGGCTCTCAACGGGGTGCGTGCGTGAGCCTAGGCGGCGCCCAGTATCGGCTCAACGTGCGACGGCGAAGAGGGGTAGGATGGCGATGACTAAGGTGGCTGACAAGAAGTGATTTGATTGAGCCTCGTGGCATCTCGTGCATCTAACTTTGTATCTTGCTACAGACTCCGGGTTCAGCGACGTTTGGACGGCCGAGAGAATCCTCGCAATCACATACGGCAAATATAGTGGGCGGCTGTACGAACCATACAAGGCTTCGATTCTTAGCAGCTTTGTAATCTGAGAAAATGACATCGAGTGTCAGCCAGGGCGAGGCGACTCCAGAGTCCTCGATTGCTGGCTTCACAACAGCAACCACAGAATCTTCAGTTTCAGCAATGACGCCGCCAACAACCGTTAGCGGCCAGACCGTTGTCGAAAATCTCTTCGATGGGCAGTACTCCGCAGTTCCATGGCCTGGCAGCAAATACGTGATCATTGAAAAAGGCTCCGATCGGGCAATCACCCTCACAAGTGGCAGGCTTCGTCTTCAAGACGTCAATGAGGGTCGAAGCTTGAACAATCAGTGGCTCTGCGTTGAGCGCAACAATTATTTTGGGTTTTATAACGAACGTGCAAGGGTATACCTCGGTCACGACGGTAAAAAAGGAATGCGTGCCTCGGCTCCGTCGCTGGAAGAGTGGGAGTTTATGATTCCCAGGCTGCACCCTGAAGGCGGTTATCAGCTGCTGCTACCGTTCTGGTCGCATACCATGATGATCTGACGCCTTCAGAGAACAAGGATCAGCTAGTAAGATCGATGCATGGAACACTTTGTGGGTCTTCTCAAAGGTCTAACAAGTACTCGTCCACGGAATATAGTGCATCAGGGTAGTTCCAGTATTGACGGTTGTTGCTCTTTATGTATTATTATATACTATAATACAGCTTTTCAGAACAAGTCTCTAGAGACTGCCCACCATCTCTGCTTTTTTTGCGCTCTAGTCGGTGGTGGCATCAAATGAGAGGAAGGTTGAGGCCAGACCAGCTGCCTCCTCATCCTGCGCAATGTTGTTCTGGAGCTTCTGCTGCTCTGTGGCGAGCTTCTTCGGACACATCCTGGCCCTGCGCCTGCTGAGCTTCAAGCTTCAGGATGGTAGCGGTCAGCTTCAGAACCTTGTTCTTGATCTTGCCTCGCTTTTTTGAAGACTGTTAAAAAGGTTTTTTTGGAGCATTCGAATAGTATCTTACCTGGAGAGCATCGGCCTTTCTCCATCAGCTGCATCAATGGCGACGTTGAATGCGTCAGTCTCTGCGTCGTTGGCAATCTGGTTCACACTGTTGAGGAAATCCAAGTCGGACTCCTCGACGGTCGTGAGATCGTTGGGCAAGCCACCCAGCTTCTGCAGGGCCTCTTGTTGGGCATTCCCAGCCACTCCTCCACTGATTGAGAGGTCGTTGTAAGAGTGGTGCTGAAGACAGCTCGCTTGCTCAAGGGCGCGGCTGAGCAGAGGGCGACAAGGGTGAAAGTGAGGAGAGAGAACTTCATGATGAATTGTTGGGTTGTTTGGTTGGAACTTTTGGCGTTGAATGGAAGAATTAGGGTCGCGGACCGTTGAATGTAGGACGAAGAAGCAAAATGCAGCGCAGCTGACTGAGGATTAGGTTGATGGAGGATGTTGTTGAGTTGATGGAGAATGTGATTGAAGGTGGGCTTCGGGCTGCTTTTATAGTCGACGGCTATGGTGATCTCAAGGATCGAAATTCTACAGTCGCCAATGGTTTCCTAGACCAGCCCAGTCCTGAAGCTGTTGTCTTGTTTTGCCGCATTGCCCTGCGCTCCTTCATAAGCGAGTCTCGGCGACAGCTACGAGACTGGGTTGGTGAGACGAATTAACCAAGGCCCACGGGCGTCAATTGTCCCAGAGCAATGGTCATGATACTGCCAAGTGAATTGCGGGAAACGATGCTTCACTCATGACGCTCAAAGAAGACACCAAAGGGGACTGCGACGCGCCTACAACCGCGCTGTCGAGAACCGACAGGGGTTTGTTACTGAAGCTCCGAGTTTCATAGCGGCCGATCTTACAAAGGTTGAGACGTCTGAACCGTGGTGGGACCAAACGACGCTAATTGTCGATTAAGCGAGTCAAATGACTCCCTAAAACAACTCTAGAAGGGAGTAGTGGCTCCTTTTTTTCGTCTCATCTTCCTTTGGCGCGGCTTCACTGAGCTTGGCTCTGCAGTTGCTAATAATAATTGGCGGAGCTCTTCACGTCGCGTCTCGCCTGTCACCTGTCACAGATTATGCTGCTACTCCAAACGTGTTAATCGTAATTGTATGCGTAAAATCCCTGGTGAGCTAATTTTCCACCTTTAATTTCGACGTTTCGTCTTATTCGCACTTGACCCGAACATCGAAAGCTGGACTCGCCACCCTGGACACCACCGCAGGATGCGCAATACTATTTCCATTCAATGCACATGTCTTCATTTGGTGCATTATGATTCAGCGCTCACTATCTATTTGGTGTTGTTGAGGGGGTATTCTTACGACCTTGATTTCTTGCAGGATTATTGATATCACCGTGACTTGACTATTTCCTTCAACAAGCGACTGAATGTAGAATAGGGAACAAAGAATTCCCGCAGTTTAGCAATTTTACACTAATTGCCTCGCCTCCTTGGTTCATGACAAGGTTTCACTTTTGCCCCGACAGGCGGGTTATCAAGAAATACTTGTCTGGGAAAGCATCTTCGTGCGTGGGTTTCTCCCTCAGTTAGATCGGTTATATTCGCATAAATGATGCAATACGTCCTATGAGCAGATATCTCGTATAGTATTCTTTCACGATCCTCAAAAGCGTTCTACGGGGTTGAATCTCTCTGCTCCGGGCTGGATCTGGATGGGGTCTAGGGTAGGGCCCGAGAGCGACAGGAGCCTGGTCTCCTTGGCAGTGGTAACGCTTGTGGACGCTGTGGACAAATCGGGGTTAAGGCGGTACATAATTCAGTTAGCGAGTACTTCATTTTGAGCCGAGCTGACCATGAAAAGCCTAGTGTCTGTTCAACGTGAGGAAGTTGTCAGCTGCACCACAAGCTCCGCGCTTCCGAGGAGATTCGGGACGACACCCGAGCAATCCTTCAGTGCTGAGCCTCTTCTGCGTAAAGTCAAAGTAGTAGCATGAGAAGTAGATGAAATATGTATAGATGAAAATCGTTGCCATACATACTGCAAAAGGTGCTATCGACGCCAACGGTATGGCACCCTCTCTTTGCTCTCCCCTCTCTGAAGTCCTCTATCTACCTGTAGTGGAATCACGGGGAGGTTGTGACTATGAACGTATGATGATGACTAGGTAGGCTAGCCATGTGTGACAGACTGTGTGTCGCAGGGGCGATCACCTCTGTCGCTACGCGCCCAGCATCTCAGGCAAAAAAAGGGGCAGGTCGGAACAAGGGTCCGACAGTCAGGTCCACCAACAACCTGACTGTTCTGACAGCGAGGTAGACAATTGTGTCCATGCAGTAATTGTGATGATTAGAATCTATATGACTGTATTTGCGTCCATCATACGTCCCGCCTCTCCAAGATCGTATGTGGATGGTGTTTTTAGGCCATGATGCCCACCCTTGTTCAACTCACTCTCCATCCAATATTACTTAGACCAGCTGTAACCTCATTTGGTACTGACTCAAATCCATGGGGGTGAAGCCAAAGTGAGCAGCCAGTCTGTCAGCTGGTTCCTTGGGGAAAACTACGCCCGCTCGCCATTTCTTGCCGGGGAACTTCGCCATCACTGCCTCCATCAGCCTCCTCGCCTCTCCTTGGCGTCTCCATTCGGGTTCCACAAAGATGCTCGTCAGATTGACTGTAATCTCGTCGTCTTTGTCCGGATGAGATATGCCACAATAGGCGTGCCCTAGTTTGAAGACTCTTTTTGTCGGCCCGAGCGGACTGACCCCCACCCCAGGCTTGCCAGGGCAAAGTAGGTGCAGCATGTTTTGTGATCTGTTTTTCGAGCTCATCAAACGTGCAGTCCTCTATACCAGTATTGGAAACAGAGTCTTTCACGCTCGTCAAGTCCTTTTCCCATCCATACAACTCTTGCTCGATCGAGAACCCCATGCGCTTGTAGAGACGAAGAGCCCGCTCGTTCTGCTTGATACACTCCAGCTCAATAATATGGACGCCCCTCTTCCTCTCTGCCGAGATGATCAGTTCCATCACCTGGGTTCCTGTTCCTTTCCCATGGTAGGAGGGCACAACCCCCATGGCCGCAAGTCGTGACTCCTTGGGCTTGTCATCTCGAATGGCGATAAGGCCGAAAGCCACCGGTTCATTGGAATCAGGCGTCGGGAAGAAAATGTGGCTCAACTCGAGCGACACAAGATATCCATTACACCATAACGTGATGGTTTCCTCGGTGAACTGAACCTCGGTGCCGATGTAATTTGTAAAGGCTTCGTTGAAAATAGCGGCGAGCTGAGAGGGCGAGATCGAGTTGCCAGGTCTAGATTCCATTTTGCCTGAAGAAGAGCGTTTCTATTTCGACAACAGAAGTGATAAGAGTTGGGAAATGTGGCTAACATACAGTTGATAATACTGAAGATGAAAGTCTGAAGTTGATCATCCGATTTCGAGCCCAGGCGAATGTTATTATATGGATAGTGGCTTACTCGAATAGGCAGGTGTTCATGTCAGACTGGTGTGGTTTGACATCATGAAAGGCTGGAAAGTGGGCGTTACGTTGTTCAAAATGTGGGGTTAGCTGATCATCATGAGGGGCCTACGAAGTGCTGACGAACACAGAGATCAGGCAGATATCTTGACGCGAGGTCGACGTACATCAGAGAGCAGTGTATTTGTACACGTACGGCACCTTGGTCATTCAATGGTCCACATTAAGGCTCGTATTCCGCGGTTGAGAAAAGGCCGCGTGGCTTCGAATTCATTTCAGCCCCAAGTCTGGGAATGACAAATGTAGTAATTGCCGAAAACACCATACCTACCAGGCATGGCTTGTTTCAATACTTGTTCGGATTAACTGAGTTCCATCAAAGCGCTACTGCAATACGTTGTCCATAACAATCACGGCACGACCATAAAGTTGTCCTTTCCGCAGCTTCTCGTAAGCCTCGGGGATCTGATCAAAGGAGAATCGATCAATGTCAATCTGCAGTTTCCCTTCCAGTGCTAGCTGACAAACTTCGCGCAGGTCTTGACGCGTGCTCCCAGCGAGGTTGCAAACCTAGCACTCGTCGCTATCCTGTTCCAGCCAAGCTTGACGCTGCCGCCCTGCATGCCCACAACAGAGACAAATCCCTCCGGGCGCACTAAGGCGGCGGCCAAGGCCAGAGTGCGATCGGTTCCGACGACGTCCAGGACGCATTCGACGCCTCTTCCGTTGAGAAACTGGCGTACGCGAGCTTCAGTGTCTGGCTGTGAGAGCACGATCCCGTCGGCACCTAGTTTTTGGCAAGATCGAGGCGATCCTGGGACGTATCTACCGCAACGACTTTGGCGGCAGTGCGTAGCTTGATGAGTTGGATCGCGTAGGCGCCGACGCCGCCGACACCGATGACCAGTACGCTCGTCCCCGGGCGCAGTAGGGGCCAAAAGGGCTTGCAGCCGGCATACGCAGTCACACCGGCGTCGGTGAGGGGAGCAAACAAGACGGGGTCGGCGGAGCCCACGGAGATGAGTTCGGTACGGGGGACGACAATGAACTCTGCGAGTCCTCCGTCGAAGCCGCAGCCTCGAGTCATGCCAATTGCACCGCGCCGGAAGTGGTCACAAATGCTGCTCAATGCCGGCTTCGCAATACTCGCAGAAGCCGCAGTGGCGCATGTGATGGAGCACCACCGTCTCCCCCTTTCCAAATCCGTCACACTCGAGCCCCATGATTCAACGAAGCCGGCCGTCTCGTGTCCGAGGATGTAGCCGGCATCGATGGCGCTCGCATAAGGATCCTCGCCGGGCTGGCTGTCCATCATGTCGATGTCAGAGCGGCAGAGACCGACAGCTTTGACGCGGACCAGGACATCCAGCGGACCGGGAGTCGGTTGCGGAACATCGATATACTGACCAGGTTGTCCCCATCGAACTAGCTTATAAGCTCTCATGATAAAGTATATAGTAATGATTTATCAGTTTTAAAAGAAAATTCTTCTTTTTTATCGTCTTTCTTCGGCTTAGGTAAATGAGATTTGACAGGATTGGGATGTTGTGATGGCGAAGATGATAAACTTGAAAGAGAACCAGATGCTGATGATGGGTGGCAATTACCTTTTGGGTAAAATGTAGGGAAATCACAGAAGAAACATCATCAAACAGCAGCAGGTTAAATATTACTGGTTATGGATTTCATTCAAAGATTGACTATTTAATTTTTCCTGGCCTCATCTATAATGTACACTCTACGTTGACAATTAGAAAGAAATGGAATCATCGGATGATATTCGACAAGAAGTCATGCGCTCATTTTGCGAAAGTGGAGCAGTATTTTGGTGTTTTGCTAGTAATAGATCATCCGCGTACTCCACAGTGTTTGAGTTTGCATTGTTTTGATACTCCACGATCCCTGCCCCTTAACTATGCACTTTGTGGGAGATCCTGTCGGTTATCCTTTCCCGTCTTCAGTCCGGAGACGTTTTAGCCAAGCCGCCGCCCATCACGTAAAGGCCTACCGATAGTGTCGCTGAATCAGGACGGTCTAATTTCGGCACAATTGTGCTGAAGAGAGGAACATGTGTATTGTACCTGACATCAGATCGTTCTGCACAAGAAGTATGGCGAGGTTTTTCCTAAGCGGCAACTCATCGGGAACCCGCCACAACCCAAGGGCGACTTGTGGCGGGGTCGTTGACAACAAAGGTCTCCTCGCCAATATTTCTCCCCTTAAGCTGCTTGTTTTTTATGAACCATACGATTTTTGATCTACAGTTTATCAGGAACCGTAGGTGCTGGGACGGCCTAGTCAGAGTTTATAGCACCGCATCAGAACTTTACATTTCTTGTTCTACTGAGATATCATGGCTTCTCTTGGCTTGAAGGGGTAAGCGCCCCCACCAGACTCATATCCCCGTCATCTCATTACCTCATCCTCCGAATTGCTTTCCTCGTCTTGCACAGTAACCGGATGAAGTTAAACCGTC